CGTGCACACCTACCACCTAGGTGGAATTTTAGACGGGTGGCAAAGCCTAACGTGCCCACCCACCACTTACGTGGATTTTAGAAAAGCGGCAAAGGATAACATGCACACTTACCACTCACGTGGATTTTAGAAGGTGCGCAATGAGCACTCTTCGGGTTCTATTGTCACCCGGACGTAATGGCCGGTCGGGAAAGAAATATATCAAATGCAGATGTTACTGAGTGAAGAAAGTAACACACACACACAGTATATATATATATATACTGTGTGTGTGTGTTACTTTCTTCACTCAGTAACACACACACACAGTATATATATATATATATATGTTTTATGGTAATTTAATGATCACAAAAAATGTGTTTCATTGCAGTTCTATTGAATTTTCTTTTCATTGGCAAGCTGCATAGATAAGAAACGCATATAAATATTGATTATCACTTTAAATATATCTTAGAAAAATGATATGTTAATTCATAATTGATTTAATTTAGTACATAAATAAAAGTACAAGGTACAAACTCCAAATGTACCTGTTGATTGGCCATTGTATGGTACCACCAGAAGAGGCGTGTGGTCATGAAGTAGGCCAACACCACATCAATGGTGTAATGGTCATGAGCCAACAGGATGCAGAAGATACCGACCGCACTCAGGCACCAGCAGATCCAGTGATACCACCAGAACCTCCGTGGAGAATCTGTCACCCATTAAATGAAAAACGAAAAAAAAAAAAAAAATCGGTGTAATATTTTTATGGTGCAGGCAGACCTATGTACCAATCTAATGGTGTTATCAAACTAAGATGTTATCATTGGTTTTAAGTATTTTTGTGTATTGTGTAATAAAGAATTTTTAAAGTATCTGTTATTGCCCTTCATGTCCACTAGATGGCGTTATCAACAAACCACAACAACATTCAGAGGCTAAAAACCACATTCTAAAGTATGTTTTGACATGATTGTTTATGATGTTTACTCACACTCTTTAATAAAGAGGTATGTTAGTGTCAGCATCACTGTGTGTCCACTGTACAAGTAATCTCCACACAAAGAGTGAGAGCCAGTGATTGACAGGCCACCACCGGCCATCATTTTCATTACCCGCCGTGACTGTGCCTCCCAATCACCGAAGAGCTGGAACACACACACACACACACACACTTAAGTATATACAAGCACAAAAACATTTATAGACAGACAAACAACCAACATGTTATTTCATTAATTGTTGATGTTATCTTTATTACTTTATCCTCTCTCACAAACTTCAATTCAAAGGAATAGTTTACTCAAAAATAAATATTCTGCCTTCACTTTATTTCCTAGGGTATGGTTAATGCAAATTTTCTGATACAATGAAACTAGAAACCACACGGTGACGGTAAGTTCTTTGTGTGCAGACCGAAATATAGGTCATTAGTCAGATAATTTCTGCTGCAGCTCTAAAGCATCAGTTGCATGAGCATTTTTATATTTGGAAGCATGAGTGAGATCTGAAATTATGGCAGAGTGCAAGGTTTTTTGATGTTCACGTGTTTTCGTCTACCAATATGTGGTTTGAGCACTTGACCCTGTTTACACTTGTCTTTTGCACTATCCACTTCAGATAGTTATGCCTATTCTAGAATAACATTAACCTGCATAAAGGTCTAGTTTCAGTGACAAGCTACAAGTACAGTCGTCCTTCGACAGTTACCTTGGGGGAACACTTGAAGTGCATGCCTGGCACAGGTAATGTCGTAACATACATGGTCACGCATCTGTACAAATACAGAGTTCCCACAATAAAAAAGAACCGGCGACCGATTATGGACCTGCAAACAGAGAGAAATCAGGGTCAAAATCAGCTAGATCATAGGATAGGTAACATAGTTTATGGATCTCAATGGTGAAGAAAGCATTCTGGACTGTTTATCATGAGTCATGACAGAAGATGATTTAAGTTGTGATTCAGATGTTTAGGAGATTATGCCTTGAAATTCATTCAACAAGCTGGGATGAGCTTTACTTGGTGGATAATGCTGTGGTTCTCAACCAGCAAACTGCCAAGAAGGAGTTCAAGATGACTTAAAATTATTTAAAATAAGAGTTTTAAAATGGCTTTAAAAGCTAAAATAAATAAATCTGGGAATTCTCTCCCTCAACAATGGCTTTTTTCTTTGAAGAATGAGGATTCCCACAGCCTTGGAAAAACTGGATATAGGAATAAGCCTTATATATATATATATATATATATATATATATATATATATATATATATATATATA